GTCGTGTATTTCCGTCTGTCTGTCCAGTAACGTGATTTGTGCGTTGTTGTAAGACAGTTTTATAAAATAGCATGTGCATCTAAAATAACTCTTGCACACACACACACAGGTGCATTCACTGACACTCATAAACACCACTGACTCACGCAGATTAGCACTCATTCTGTGTCTGTGTTTCTCTCAGGGATCCTCTACGGGACTATGACTCTGGAGTTGGGCGGTCAGGTGTCCATCGCCTGTGAGAAGACGGGCTACAGCGCTCAACTGGAGTTCAGACTCAAGGTGTGTGTGTGTGTTTATACGCTCATGCCAGGGAGCTTTTGTGACATTCAGAAGAACAGTGGGGTGCAGAGAGAAAGGCCACACACATCACATCCGTATCAAACCAAATGCCACACCGATAACGGCACAACATCCACAAATGAACGATGCTTCATGTGACTCTTTTCAATGGCATGACTGATATTTCCCTGTCCATCAGCCGTTCCTCGGCAGCAGTGATAGCGTGAATCAGATCAGCGGGAAGATCAAGCTCGGGAAGGAGGTGCTGGCGACACTTGAGGGGCATTGGGTGAGTATAACAGTCAAAAACCAGACCGTCTGCACATAAAAATCACAAGAAATCAGCTGTAAAGGTTACATAGAAATTAGGGCTACACGATAAATCACATGCGATATTTAGTGCACATCTTGTCAGTATATCCGGTTCTGGACAAGCTGCGCAAAACATGCACAAAATATGATTGTGGTTTTGCGCAGCTTTGTCAGTGAACAACAGCTCTGTGTAGTAAATGCTGGTCCATGTGAAAGCACGCACGTGATGGAGATTTACCGCTGATTACAGAACCGGCATTACTGAAAAGATGCGCATTAAATATCGCATGCAATTTATCGAGCAGCCCTAATAGAAATCCGAAAATGTGTTTGGTCACTTTGCATGTCAATCAAACTAAGTGGGCGGTTCTTAGCTGGAATAGTGACAATTCTGGCTAATGATTTTAGCATGTCTAAATGTGTTTGGACCTGAAACTAAGGCTTCTTAGATGTCTTTTATAGGTCATGTCATTGTCTGTGTGTGTGTGTGTGTGTGTGTGTGTGTGTGTGTGTGTGTGTGTGTGTTTTACAGGAGA